CACAACTGATTTTTCCATTGCAGCAGCTTCAAAAGTCTGGAATATGTCTCTGGTTTCTCGAACAAACTGGATCAGCTCCCCTACAATTCCAACATCAATGCCAATGCTTTGGAGTTTTTTGCTAACTGTACCAAATCTATCCAGGATAGTACCCCACAAACCACTCATAAGTGCAGTCTCCAGACGTCATATTTTATTCAGAAGACCTTTAGCTTCCTTGCATGTTCTTGGTGCCTCTGCGGTATTTTTCTTAATTTTTGTTAAGGCTTCGATTACTTGAGTCCAATTTCGATTCAAGCTTCGACAGGCATCTTCCCTGGCTGACCACCGTGTGTCAGATAATCTCTTGACCGCTAGAGTGTTTGGCACAGATGATAGATGTTCTTGTAAAATCTCCCATCTGTGAGTGGAAGCATTAAAAAAAATGTAAAGGTATTGTAGGAGACCAAAGAATGAACAGGCTTCAGGACAACTTTCAGCAGCATGCTTCCCTACTAGATTTAAAGAGTGTGCAGAGCATGGAATATACACAGCAAGTGGGTTTCTTTCCAGAATTCTGACTTGCAATCCTCTATAATGGCCAGACATATTGCTTGCATTGTCATATGATTGACCACGACAGTTGGCAATATCAAGATCATCAGACTTAAGAGTGTTGAGGACCACTTCAGCCATTTGTTGCGATTTATGTCCAGGATTTGGAATAAAACGTAGAAAGCGCTCAACCGGTAAGCCATCTTCCTTGACATACCTTAAGATGAAGGCCAGCTTATGCGTGTGGGAGCTATCAGGTGTTGAATCAACACTGAGTAATATTTAGCAGCCTTTGCCTCCTTAACCATCTGCTTTGTAACAGAATCTGCCATAAGCTGAATAAACTGCTCACAGTTTAGAATCCTTTTCCTGCATTGCCTTAACGGTCAATGTGTTCTGCTATAAATGGGTCAAATTTTGACAGAAATTCGAACATCATCATGTAGTTTCTGTTGTGTGTGTGGAACCAAAACGGTCATCTTTCCCTCTGAAAGCAAGTCCTCGAGTGCCAAGTGCCTTAACTGCAGCAACAACTCTTTTTAAAACATTTCTCCAATATTGAATTTCATCAGAACGCTGCTTGGTAAGACTTTCATCAATTCTCCCCTGTGTACATGCTCTTGATTTTAAAGATAGCACGCAGGATTTGTGTTCAGCTGAACGCTCGTGGTCGAACTCATTTAATCGAACCGTGCCATTTTTCCAGTCATTGAAGCCACTTTCTGCCAACCGGGATTTGCAACCAAACAAACGACATGGAGCACAAAACACTACTCCTTTGCTTTTGGAGTAAACCAAATAGCTCCTTTTTTGTTTCTCTCCATTAAAGTTTTCTTTTTCAAAAAGGTGTTTGGTTAGCAATCTAGAATGGTCAGCATAAAGCCTTCTCGACTGTGTAAAGTCCAGATTCTCACTTTGAATTATTCCATGTTTAGCCACATGGTCTCTGTTGCAATCATTTAAAACCCATTCAGCAGGGTCAGAGCTTACTCCTATTTGTACAACAGGAACATTAAAGGACCACTATAGTGCCAGGAAAACATACTCGTTTTCCTGGCACTATAGTGCCCTGAGGGTGCCCCCACCCTCAGGGTCCCCCTCCCGCCCGGCTCTGGAAGGGGGAAAGGGGTAATAACTTACCTTTTTCCAGCGCTGGGCGGAGAGCTCTCCTCCTCCTCTCCGCCTCCGATCCGCCCCACCGGCTGAATGCGCACGCGCGGCAAGAGCTGCGCGCGCATTCAGCCGGTCTCATAGGAAAGCATTTACAATGCTTTCCTATGGACGCTTGCGTGCTCTCACTGTGAAAATCACAGTGAGAAGCACGCAAGCGCCTCTAGTGGCTGTCAATGAGATAGCCACTAGAGGATTAGGGGGAAGGCTTAACCCATTCATAATTATAGCAGTTTCTCTGAAACTGCTATAATTATGAAAAATGGGTTAACCCTAGAAGGACCTGGCACCCAGACCACTTCATTAAGCTGAAGTGGTCTGGGTGCCTAGAGTGGTCCTTTAAATTCTACTGAACTCAAAGGACCTGATTCAGAAGTCTCAGTTTCTCTGGCAATACCAGTACTACTGGTAGATAGTGAAGTATCATAACTGCATGTAGCAACTACATCAGTTTCACAGATGTCAGCATTTAAATCTTTAACTACCTCCTCACCCTGCTTAGTATTAGAAGCCACAGGTTTCGAGAAAAATAGATACATTTTTCCTATCTGATCAAGCTCCCTGGCTTGTTTTTCACGCCTAATTTTTGCATTTTTTCGGTAACCTGCTCCACTTAGCCTTTTTTGCCCGTCACTCATGGCTGCTAAGGATAGTACCAATGCTGTGAAAATCAACCCACATAGCATCAGTAAAAATCAACCGACATAGCATTAGTAAAAATCGACCGACATAACGTCAATGAAAATCAACAGGCATAGAATCAGTAAAAATCCACTGCCATAGCATAAGTAAAAATCAACCGCCATAGCATAAGTAAAAATCAACCGACATAGCGTCAGTGAAAATCAACCGCCATTGCGTTAAAGGAAAATCAACCGCCATTGCGTCAATGAAAATCAACCACCATAGCGTCAATGAAAATCAACAGGCATAGCGTCAGTGAAAATCAACAGGCATAGCGTCATTGAAAATCAACAGGCATAACATCAGTGAAAATCAACAGGCATAGCCTCAATAAAAATCAACCGACAAAGCTCCAATAAAAATCAACCGCCATAGCGTCAATGAAAATCAACCGCCATAGCTTCAATGAAAATCAACCGCCATAGCGTCAATGAAAATCAACCGCAATAGCGTCAATGAAAATCAACCGCAATGGCGTCAATGAAAATAAACCGCCATAGCGTCATTGAAAATCAACAGACGGCTATAATGGAAGGAGGCTCTGAAGGAGCATGCTGCTTCTTGTGGGAGGTTGGCTTGCTGTCTGCTCTCCATGGCAGCAGTCAGACATTTTTCAGGAAGCAGGAACAGAGCAGAGAGAGAGTGGCAAGTGCGAGGGGCAGGGCCGTCTTTAATATTGATTGGACCCTGGGCAAGAATTTACTTGGGCCCCCTGGATCCCGCCTTCTCACACAAAAATGTGCAGTGTCTGAGTATATATCAGCAAACCCACTACTTTCCCATAGGAAAGCATTGGGAGGCTATTGCGCATGTGTGGCAAAACACTGTGCTGCACCAATCAGCATCTCCTTCTAGAGATGCATTAAATCAATGCATTTCTATGAGGACTGTTCAGCGTGAATGCCAGTGCTGCACGTTGTGCAACACTGGACTAGGAAGCACCTCTAGTTGCCGTCTGATGAGTGGATATGAGTAAATACTGCCTTTTTTCTGAAAAGCAAGTGTTTACATTAAAAAGCTTAAGGAGACATGATATAGACACCAGAACTACTAATTTTAGCTGTTGTGGTTCTGGTGACTATAGTGTACCTTGAATATTGAGAAGAAAAAGAATCATCACAAATGTATGAAATAAAATATCTGTATCATCTAAAAGTTATTTAACAAAAAAAAATAAACTATGCACATTCCTAGTTTGATTTTTAGCGTCTGACAAACATTTATTTTGCAGATTACTTTGCATATGCATAAAAAATATATAAAAAGTAATCTGTAAAATACAAAGTATTTATGTTAGAAGTTGTGCTTTTTTAATTTTTAGAATAATGATACAGGCAGCCATTTTATTTAATGTATTTGTGCTAATTTCTGTGTTGGTTGGAGGGGGATGAGGGGCAGTATTACACAATCTTTATATATTTTTTTTATACATATACAGATTGTGTAATTTACACAATCTGTATATGTATAAAAAAATATATAAAGATACCCCACTGGTAACTAGACCTTGCTTTGAATATACTCCGTTGACAACAACCCTCTGCTGCCTGTCATTTAGCCACTGCCTAACCCATTCAACAATATTGGAATCCAAACTTAAAGATTGCAGTTTATTGATGAGCATTCTATGTGTAACAGTGTCAAAAGCCTTACTGAAATTAAGGTAGGCAATGTCTAATGCACCACCCTGATCTATTATTTTAGTTACCCAATCAAAAAAATAAGATTAGTTTAGTATGATCTCCCTGAAGTAAACTTCAGAGCTGTCTTCACTCGATTGCACCCCACCCACCTCACCCTTTAAAAAACATCTATTTGGTGAGCCCTCTATATTTATACAGGTTTACCTGAACGTCGGTTTTGGCACGACACAACCGACTAATTTCATTCTCGGCCTGTGTACACATATATATATATATATATATATATATATATATATATATATACACACACACACACACTGCTCAAAAAAATAAAGGGAACACTTAAACAACACAATGTAACTCCAAGTCAATCACACTGAAATCAAACTGTCCACTTAGGAAGCAACAATGAGTGACAATCAATTTCACATGCTGTTGTGCAAATGGGATAGACAACAGGTGGAAATTATAGGCAATTAGCAAGACACCCCCAATAAAGGAGTGGTTCTGCAGGTGGTGACCACAGACCACTTCTCAGTTCCTATGCTTCCTGGCTGATGTTTTGGTCACTTTTGAATGCTGGTGGTGCTTTCACTCTAGTGGTAGCATGAGACAGAGTCTACAACCCACACAAGTGGCTCAGGTAGTGCAGCTCATCCAGGATGGCACATCAATGCGAGCTGTGGCAAGAAGGTTTGCTGTGTCTGTCAGTGTAGTGTCCAGAGCATGGAGGCGCTACCAGGAGACAGGCCAGTACATCAGGAGACGTGGAGGAGGCCGGAGGAGGGCAACAACCCAGCAGCAGGACCGCTACCTCCGCCTTTGTGGAAGGAGGAACAGGAGGAGCACTGCCAGAGCCCTGCAAAATGTGTCTGCTCAAACGTCAGAAACTGACTCCATGAGGGTGGTATGAGAGCCCGAGGTCCACAGGTGGGGGTTGTGCTTACAGCTCAACACCGTGCAGGACGTTTGGCATTTGCCAGAGAACACCAAGATTGGCAAATTCACCACTGGCGCCCTGTGCTCTTCACAGATGAAAGCAGGTTCACACTGAGCACATGTGACAGACATGACAGAGTCTGGAGACGCCGTGGAAAATATTCTGCTGCCTGCAACATCCTCCAGCATGACCGGTTTGGCAGTGGGTCAGTAATGGTGTGGGGTGGCATTTCTTTGGGGGGCTGCACAGCCCTCCATGTACTCGCCAGAGGTAGCCTGACTGCCATTAGGTACCGAGATGAGATCCTCAGGATCGGGCATACCGGGCAAATGCCCGGTGGGCCGCGATGGCCATGGGCCGAGGCCGGCAGGGGAGATCACAGAATCTCCCTTGTCAGCCCCTGCAGGGCCAGCGCTACCCGAGCGCCAGCCCTGCTGTGTGCCTCCATGGGCCGGTAGGGAGATCAAAGATCTCCCTCACCAGCACAGAGACATGGAGATGCGGCCGCAAGCGTGGGAGTGAGGGAGGGAGGCAGGAGAGAGGACCAGTGGAGCTCTAACAAGCAGCTCCGCGGGGTCCTCTCGCGGGATTCTGAGCGTTGCCGTGGTTAGCCTGCAGGTTAGAGTTCACTCTCACCACTGGACCACCAAGGAAGGATGGCAGAATGGATCTCCTCCCCCCCCAGGCAGAACGGATCTCCTCCTCCCCCCCTCCCAGGCTAAAGGTAAGGGGGGGGGGACATAACTTTTTCTTTTAATTATTAATAAAAAATAAATATTTAAAATAAATTCCCTAACAGCCCCCAGACACACATAGCACCCCCAGACACACACAGCACCCCCAGACACAGCCCCCAGACACAGCCCCCAGACACACACAGCACCCCCAGACGCACACAGCACCCGGATACACACAGCACCCCCCAGACACACACAGCACCCCCCGATGCAGACAGCACCCTCAGACGCAGACAGCACCCTCACTCCCACACATATACAGCATATATATATATATATATATAATAACCATCAGTGAGTTAACAGACAAATAAAGTTAGAAACCTAGAATGTGACGGCAGATAAAAACACCGTCACACACAGCACACTTCGCACCTCACACATACAATACGTCCAAATATATTCTAAATATATATACACACACACACTACAGCACCCATCACACTGCACCACTACACACATTACGCTCCAGATACATGCTAGATCCCTTACCCTATATGCACTCTTAATCCTCTACACACACACACACACACACACACAATCCTCTATACACACTCTGGGTCCTTTACACACTAGATCTCTTACACACACATTGCACCACCTACACACACACTACATTCCTTGTAAGCAAACACATACAACATTCTCTAAACACACCCTCTCTACAACCCCTACACACACTACGTCACCTATACACACACTACTGCCCGTATGTACACACTCGCTACATCCCCTATAACACTATGCCCCTATACACGCACTCTCTACAGCCCCTAGCCACACATATTACACCACAAAATTGACCTATTTACACAATACCACATCACACTCTACACACACAGGCAATCCCACAAGCATGCGCCAAACACATGCACCATACACTTTCCTGGCCCTTTTATCCTCTGGTATCCCACTTGTGGACTCACCAGACACAATTTAAAAGCAAACACAGCGCAAGCATGTTATTACATTTGCTTGCGCCGCGCAGAACAAATACAGGGCCTTTTTCTAATGCTAGAGCTCTTCAGCGGGGCTCTGTGCATTGAACCAACATGCTCACTTTCAGAAGGGGCGTACTTGTCATTAGTGATGACAAAACACACCCTCTCTGGCCCGCCCCCTTCTTGGGGGGCTGCTCTAATTGAAAAATGCCCGGGCCTAATTTTTTTCCCAGTCCGGCCCTGCTCAGACCCCTTGTGAGACCATATGCTGGTGCGGTTGGCCCTGGGTTCCTCCAAATGCAAGACAATGTTAGACCTCATGTGGCTGGAGTGTGTTAGCAGTTCCTGCAAGACGAAGGCATTGATGCTATGAACTGGCCCGCCCGTTCCCCAGACCTGAATCCAATTGAGCACATCTGGGACATCATGTCTCGCTCCATTCCACCAATGTCACGCTGCACCACAGGAGTTGGCAGATGCTTTAGTCCAGGTCTGGGAGGAGATCCCTCTGGAGACCATCCGCCACCTCATCAGGAGCATGCACAGGCGTTGTAGGGAGGTCATACAGGCACGTGGAGGCCACACACGCTACCGAGCCTCATTTTGACTTGTTCTAAGGACATTACATCAAAGTTGAATAAGCCTGTAGTGTGTTTTTCCAATTTAATTTTGAGTGTGACTCCAAATCCAGAC